CAAAATCCCCTCATATGTCCCCTGCCTTTCTTGTCAACAAAGAAGCAGAGAAAAGAAGAGGAAAGAAGCGCATGGTTGTCAACTACAAAGCAATCAATGATGCAACTATTGGAGACTCACATAATCTTCCCAATATGCACGAACTTTTGACTCTTCTACGAGGAAAAAATATGTATTCAAGTTTTGACTGCAAGTCAGGTTTCTGGCAAGTCCTACTTGATGAAGAATCGCAGCTTCTCACTGCCTTCACATGTCCTGATGGACTCTTTCAATGGAAAGTACTACCCTTTGGGCTTAAACAAGCTCCTAGTATTTTTTCAAAGACACATGCACAACGCCCTTCGAGGACTTGAAAGTTTATGTACTGTATACGTTGATGACATCATGGTCTTCAGCAAAAATGAACAAGATCACTATGTTCATGTTACACAGGTTCTCAGAACCATTTTAAAATATGGAATAATACTTTCAAAAAAGAAAGCTCATCTTTTCAAAACAAAAATTAATTTTTTGGGTTTAGAAATAAATGAGGGTACTCATTGTCCTCAAAAGCATATTCTTGAACATTTACATGACTTTCCAAATGTTTTAGAAGACAAAAAACAACTGCAAAGATTTCTTGGTGTTTTAACTTATGCTGAAACATATATTGAAAAACTTGCAGCCATGAGAAAACCTTTACAGGTAAAATTAAAAAAAAAAATGTCATCTGGAATTGGTCAAATGCTGATACAGACTACATCAAAAAGATAAAGAAAATTTTAATCAATTTTCCAAAACTTTATCTTCCAAACATTGAAGACAGTTTAATTATTGAAACTGATGCTTCTGATGAATTTTGGGGAGGTGTTTTAAAAGCTAAAAACCCCAAAAACGAAGAACAAATTTGCAGGTACACCTCTGGCAGTTTCAAAGCAGCCGAGAAAAACTACCATAGCAATGAAAAAGAATTACTCGCTGTAAAAAGAGTTATTACAAAATTCTCTGTATATTTAACACCAGTAAATTTCCTGGTTCGTACAGATAATAAAAATTTTACTTATTTCCTCCGAACTAAGATAGCAGGAGACAACAAATTAGGCCGACTAATACGTTGGCAAGAGTGGTTCTCTCGATATACTTTTACTGTAGAATATCTTGCAGGAGATAAAAATGTGCTGGCAGACTGTCTCACCCGTGACTTCACGTATGTCTTACATCATCCATGATCTCACTTGCTCCTCTCGAGCCCTATAAAAGGATATGATCCCCACGACATATTCCTTACAAACTTCACTCACAAAAAGAGAGGGGAAGGATAAAGAGTAAATTTACAAAATGGAAGACCTCAAATCCCTGAGGATGAAGAAACAAATGCTCCTCATAGAGCTATCAGCAATCGAACAAAAAATCAACTTGTATGAACAAGTAACAACGGTCACCGATGTACCGGAAAGCGAAAGCTTAAAAACAAAGGCTATTCCAGTGCAAACGGCATCTGGTAAAGAAACAACAAATCCGTTGAAAGCTGATGCTTTGCTAAAAAGCATAATAAAGGAGACAGCTACTCCTCTTCCAGAAGGAAAAACTAGCTTGTTGGTTAATTCCAACCCTTGTACTGAAGGAATCAGTAAAATGACAATTTTGTCACCCACTAACGAATCTGTGCAGGAGCTTAAACCAGATTACAAAAAGGCTCTTAACAAAGAAGCTGAAAGATTCTATGTAATCTACAAAGGGCCACACGCCGGAATACATACAGACTGGGGAATTACAGAAACCTTCTGCAAGGTCGATAAAGTAACATGCAAAAAATTCAGAAATGAAACAAGTGCACGAATTAGTTTTGCCACCTTCAATGACGAAGCCAATCAAACCAAAAAACCTCTTCTAAAACCGAAAATCCGGAAGATCAAAGAAGAACACAGAGACCAAAGATTTAACATCCCAAATGACGTTGAATATGAAGTCAACAACCCTGCAATCTCCTTTGAAGATTTCAGAATAATCTGGAGTAAAGCTAGAGCGGCATGCCCAGAAGATCTTATCCATGAGAGATTTTTCACAACAGATAAGAAAACCAAAAGTCTGTACAACTTCCTTGAAGGAGCAGATCCAAGATTAATCCAACAAGCCTTTTCAGCAGGATTAATAGACAACATCTATCCAAGCTGTAATTTGCAAGAACTAAAGTTCTTCCCATCCAGCATGATAGAAACCATTAAGAACTTCCGAAAGAAAGTTCTCAAAGCAAGAGATGATCCAATTTATATCAGAGTCATCTCCTCTCTTCCAGATTGGATTCAAGGAGCAACACTTGCCCCTTATCACTATCTAGAAATTGGCTTGGCAAAAGCCAAAAAAGACATCGAACAATCTCGACCAACGGAAGACAAAGATCTCCCGTTCGAAGAAATCCTTCATCAAAATCGTATCAATGGCCTTAGAAGAATTTCTGAAAAGATCATTGAGATAATCTCAGGATCAAAGAAAAAAGTTAATTATACAAATTCACACTGTATAATCACCAGCTGGAGCTATGGCAACACCAGCAACGAAGACCTTGAACGAGCATCCAAATTCGGAGAACAGTTCATGAACAACAACTTTGATGCATCTGCCACTACAAGACAAATATTCTGTAAGCATGCGGAACAGTTGTTTGAAAACCATCATTGCAACTACTGCAATTGCAGTGATTCCACGACAAAGGAGGGTCCCTTCTCTGAAGATGACAAATCGTCATCATCTTAAAGAAAGATGCTTCACGCATCAAATGGCCCCCGCCACTCAAGAAAATAATACTTCCTACATTATTAGAAGCTTTCCAGCTCTCCACAATAATGTAATCGGTAGTGGTTAGAAACGTCATGCATGACATAATAGGCAATTATCAGACCCTCTCAATGTATCTATAAATTGAGAGTTATGTTTTCATTTTAGATTATCGCAATAACGAGTGCAACAAAAACACTCTCTATCTTGTAAATTTTCAGTTCAATGTCTTGTGAGTAAAATCTCCCTTAGAAGGGAGAGATGTAAAATATTGTAGGAGTACTCCCACTTCGGGAGCTCTTTTATCAATAAATTTATGTTTTGTTATACTTGAGTGTTCTACAAAATAGAGTCATGAAACCTGTAAGTGACAGAGTGTCAGGTCGTCGATGATTAACAGTACCACAGGCATGAGGCCAACAGGGAAAGCAACCACACAGGCCAATGAATGACACAGGCTGGCTTGAATACTTTCTATCTATGTAAGTAATACTCCTATTCCAAAACACTTATTGATTAATGAGTTTTCTCTTTACAATTTTGTGCATCTATTTCCTTCTAAATATTAAAAATATAATAAAAAAATTTGTTAAAAAATTCCGTACACCCATACTGGTATCAGAGCCTTGTTAAAAATGGCATTACATTATAATAAAACACTTTACAGTGAATTGTTTGAAGAAATTCAAAATATCGAGGATGAAATTTCTCATCATAAAGAAATGATTTTCAATAATAAGAAAAATTTAGTGCATATAAATTTCAGAATTCTACAAGCACAAAATAAACATACTCACGAATATATACCAACCATGGTTACTATACGTAAGTATCTCCTTCACAGGCAAAAAACATATCAAGAACACCTTGATAAAGCTTTAAACTCAGTTTCAGAACTCAGAAAAAGGATTTTAACTTGTTAACATTTCTTAAACATGAATAAAGAAATTTTCAACAATTCTGAAGAAAATGATTCAGAAGAAAAACAAATTCTAACTTATGTTGAGGATGAAGACGGCTTTCATCCAAACCTCTTAATAAAACAAGACCTTCTCTCTCGAATCAAGAAAACAGATTTAAAAATAAAGAAAGAAAACATTTTCAAAAATGTTCCTTCTAAACTTAGTATTTTAAATCCACTTAAAAGGAAAAATAAAATTTTCTACTTTGTTAGTACTAAAGAAATGTCTGTAGACATAAAAGACTCCATATAGGAGAAAGCTCAGAAAGAAAAGATAGTAACTTAATAAGAAACATGTCTTTAAAAATTGATAGTCTACGTCAAAATATCAAACAAATCACTGAGATTGTAAATGAGTAATAAAATAGATTTTCCTCATTTTTATAAAAAAGGAAAAACAGTCAAAATTAAAACTCTTGACGACAATACTGAAAAGAAAGAATACGTTTTCTCTACTTCTGGAAAAGCTGGTATTCAAACAATTGTAAATCATTGCAATAATCTCAACCAGATCATTGCAAGCTGTCTTTTAAAGACTTCAAAAATAAGCCATTACCTTGGTGTTTCAAAAGATATTTATACAAATATTTCAAAAAACAAAATACCTTTTAACCAATTTAAAAGTGATTTAGCTTTCCTTAAAAATAATCTTGACAAAAAAGATTTTGAAAAATTATTCGAAACAATCGAAAAACAAAATAGGTTGACTATTAAATTAACCCAATCTATTGATAAACATTCTATCCTCCTAGAAAACTCTTTAAAAAATAATCAGTTTGTGGAAGAAGTTGCCAGAAGAGCAAATATTGAAGGCACTCTTAAGGAAACCAACCTTAAGATCACTAGTATACAAGACCAGTTAAAACAACTGATAGGATGAGCTTAACCGAGCTCAATAGATCGATCAACCTCCTTGAAGAAAAAATAGCTGGGCTAAATCATAAACCTCGACTTAACAGTCAATAAATACGTAACCACTAACCAGTTAGAAGTTGCATCTGCAAAAATTATTGTAGACATTACTAAAGAGTTGTCTGAAAAGATTGATTCTTGCCCTTGTAATAAAGACATTCTTGAACACATCAAGAATATTTCCATTATAGAGCAAAAAACCAAACCGGGAAAATACTCAGGACTTAAGAAATATTCACCTCCCAATCCTAGTATTGGAAACCCAGACTTAGGTAGCTCAAAAGACTCCCAAAAGATTGATATCTTTAGGAAGGAGAAACAATGAAAGAAAAAGTCTTCGAGCAGCTCGAGAAATATTTCTTTAATCTTCAGTATGAAGACTATGATAAACCTGCCCCAAAAACTCATCCAGCTTCTATCCTTGGAAACTGAAGAATGCAAAGAACTATATCAAAAAGAGCCACAACTTTTTGACCAATACTTTAAAGTAGCTAAAACAAATGAACCTGATACCGAATCAGAACAGGAAGACAATCCTAACATAAACGCTGTCAAGTTCGAATACTCAGATAGCAACGAAGAAATGGAAGCAGAATCTTCATATATGGCCGCAAACAGAGGCGAGAGAAAGAAGAAAAAGAACTATGAGTTCAAAATGCCTGTCCATAATGGTATTCCAAATAGTGGTAAAGGACCCAATACGATCAATGTCCTCAATATTGATTGTATCCAGGACTTAAAACTCAGAGAAAGAGTTATAGAAAAATGGGTTACTGAGATCTCACTAATCTTACAAACAAACCCAGATGAATTTGGAAATGCAAAAAATGTCCTCCTACTTTTAGAACACAAGACTGATGGAATTGTGCAAAAATTCCTTAGAAATAATAATTGGAATGAAGAATTACATGGATTAGACCTTTTTGATAATCTTATAAATGTCATTTACACTACCTTCTTAGGACTAGATTATGTCTCCAATAAAGACTTCACTATAAATAAGAAAGTCGACATAGCAAGAGTCTCAATGACAAAACTCCAGTTACATGATATTTGTCTCCTTGACAAATACACATGTAGATATGAATCATATCTTTATGATATTCCACAGAGATGTGAATATTCACAATGGATATCTGCTTATCTTATGAAAATACCAATCATTGGAGAAATCTGTACTGAAAGATGGAAGAAAGAAGCCATTGGAGAAATTCAGCAAACCAGTCTTTCTTATGCAACAAAAATTGCAAAAGAAGAAATTGACAGAATATGTCAAGACAGGTATAAACAACAAAAGCTTAAAACTATAAGCAAGGATTGTTGTAATATTCTGTCTGATTTCAAAGATTTTGATATCGGAAGAAAAACTTATACTAAGAAAAAGTATAAAGATAAAAACAAAAAGAAATACAAATCTTTTTGGAAGAAGAAAAAGAGAAGATTTTCTCCAGGAAAATACTTCAAAAAATCTTCGAAAGAAACACCAAAAAAGAATACTTCCTGCCCACAAGGAAAGAAAAAATGCAGGTGTTGGATTTGCAACGAAGAAGGACACTACGCAAATGAATGTCCAAATAGGAAAAAGTACCCTGACAAGGTCAAAGTATTACAAGCCGCTAATAACGGAGGCTATGAAGCTCTTGAAGAAGAATACGACGGTACACAACATGTTTTCATTCTACATGTTGATACTAATTCCTCGTCATCCTAAGAAGAAGATGAAACTACTACTGATGACTCAGAATAGCCTTAAACAGACTCCAGCTTTTAAGACGGGTGAGGTTAACCAATTTTGTGCAAACCTCCAAAAAAATAATGATTCTCTCATGAATCTCACTAATCCAAACTCTATTTATGTTTCTGCTTTCCTTAACTTCAAAGGATATAAGAAATTTAGGGTACACTGTTTTGTAGACACAGGTGCATCCTTATGTCTTGCAAGCAAATTCATCATTCCTAACGAACTATGGGAAAATGCTCCCAAAAAAAAAATTGTCGCTACTATTGCAAATGGTGACACTATAAAAATTAATAAAGTTTGCAGAAACATTAATCTCGAGCTTTCAGGAGAACATTTCAACGTTCCCACTATTTATCAACAAAACTCAGGAATTGATGTTGTAATTGGCAACAACTTCTGCCAAGTCTATGGACCATTTATACAATGGATAGATAGAATTGCCTTTCATCTTAACAACGATATGGTGATTGTAAAAAAGGTTACTGAAGCCTTTAGTAAAGGAAAACCAAGTTTTCTTGAAACCCAGAGAAAGGGTTCTAAAGAAAAACAAATTCCGGGTACCAATATAACCCAAGAAGGAATTAATGAAAAAAAGGATTATTTCCATTCAAACTACCAGGTTCAAACAGATTGAAGATCTTCTTGAAAAAGTTTGTTCTGAAAATCCTATTGATCCAGATAAAACCAAAGGATGGATGAAAGCTTCAATTAAGCTCATTAATCCCAAAATGGTTATTAGAGAAAAACCTATGGTTTACTCTCCACAAGATAGAGAAGAATTCTCCAAACAAATCAAGGAATTACTTGATATGAGACTAATTATAGAATCAAAATCCCCTCATATGTCCCCTGCCTTTCTTGTCAACAAAGAAGCAGAGAAAAGAAGAGGAAAGAAGCGCATGGTTGTCAACTACAAAGCAATCAATGATGCAACTATTGGAGACTCACATAATCTTCCCAATATGCACGAACTTTTGACTCTTCTACGAGGAAAAAATATGTATTCAAGTTTTGACTGCAAGTCAGGTTTCTGGCAAGTCCTACTTGATGAAGAATCGCAGCTTCTCACTGCCTTCACATGTCCTGATGGACTCTTTCAATGGAAAGTACTACCCTTTGGGCTTAAACAAGCTCCTAGTATTTTTCAAAGACACATGCAGAACGCCCTTCGAGGACTTGAAAGTTTCTGTACTGTATACGTTGATGACATCATGGTCTTCAGCAAAAATGAACAAGAACACTATGTTCATGTTACACAGGTTCTCAGAACCATTTTAAAATATGGAATAATACTTTCAAAAAGAAAGCTCATCTTTTCAAAACAAAAATTAATTTTTTGGGTTTAGAAATAAATGAGGGTACTCATTGTCCTCAAAAGCATATTCTTGAACATTTACATGACTTTCCAAATGTTTTAGAAGACAAAAAACAACTGCAAAGATTTCTTGGTGTTTTAACTTATGCTGAAACATATATTGAAAAACTTGCAGCCATGAGAAAACCTTTACAGGTAAAATTAAAAAAAGATGTCATCTGGAATTGGTCAAATGCTGATACAGACTACATCAAAAAGATAAAGAAAATTTTAATCAATTTTCCAAAACTTTATCTTCCAAACATTGAAGACAGTTTAATTATTGAAACTGATGCTTCTGATGAATTTTGGGGAGGTGTTTTAAAAGCTAAAAACCCCAAAAACGAAGAACAAATTTGCAGGTACACCTCTGGCAGTTTCAAAGCAGCCGAGAAAAACTACCATAGCAATGAAAAAGAATTACTCGCTGTAAAAAGAGTTATTACAAAATTCTCTGTATATTTAACACCAGTAAATTTCCTGGTTCGTACAGATAATAAAAATTTTACTTATTTCCTCCGAACTAAGATTGCAGGAGACAACAAATTAGGCCGACTAATACGTTGGCAAGAGTGGTTCTCTCGATATACTTTTACTGTAGAATATCTTGCAGGAGATAAAAAGGTGCTGGCAGACTGTCTCACCTGTGACTTCAGGTATGTCTTACATCATCCATGATCTCACTTGCTCCTCTCGAGCCCTATAAAAGGATATGATCCCCACGACATATTCCTTACAAACTTCACTCATAAAAAGAGAGGGGAAGGATAAAGAGTAAATTTACAAAATGGAAGACCTCAAATCCCTGAGGATGAAGAAACAAATGCTCCTCATAGAGCTATCAGCAATCGAACAAAAAATCAACTTGTATGAACAAGTAACAACGGTCACCGATGTACCGGAAAGCGAAAGCTTAAAAACAAAGGCTATTCCAGTGCAAACGGCATCTGGTAAAGAAACAACAAATCCGTTGAAAGCTGATGCTTTGCTAAAAAGCATAATAAAGGAGACAGCTACTCCTCTTCCAGAAGGAAAAACTAGCTTGTTGGTTAATTCCAACCCTTGTACTGAAGGAATCAGTAAAATGACAATTTTGTCACCCACTAACGAATCTGTGCAGGAGCTTAAACCAGATTACAAAAAGGCTCTTAACAAAGAAGCTGAAAGATTCTATGTAATCTACAAAGGGCCACACGCCGGAATACATACAGACTGGGGAATTACAGAAACCTTCTGCAAGGTCGATAAAGTAACATGCAAAAAATTCAGAAATGAAACAAGTGCACGAATTAGTTTTGCCACCTTCAATGACGAAGCCAATCAAACCAAAAAACCTCTTCTAAAACCGAAAATCTGGAAGATCAAAGAAGAACACAGAGACCAAAGATTTAACATCCCAAATGACGTTGAATATGAAGTCAACAACCCTGCAATCTCCTTTGAAGATTTCAGAATAATCTGGAGTAAAGCTAGAGCGGCATGCCCAGAAGATCTTATCCATGAGAGATTTTTCACAACAGATAAGAAAACCAAAAGTCTGTACAACTTCCTTGAAGGAGCAGATCCAAGATTAATCCAACAAGCCTTTTCAGCAGGATTAATAGACAACATCTATCCAAGCTGCAATTTGCAAGAACTAAAGTTCTTCCCATCCAGCATGATAGAAACCATTAAGAACTTCCGAAAGAAAGTTCTCAAAGCAAGAGATGATCCAATTTATATCAGAGTCATCTCCTCTCTTCCAGATTGGATTCAAGGAGCAACACTTGCCCCTTATCACTATCTAGAAATTGGCTTGGCAAAAGCCAAAAAAGACATCGAACAATCTCGACCAACGGAAGACAAAGATCTCCCGTTCGAAGAAATCCTTCATCAAAATCGTATCAATGGCCTTAGAAGAATTTCTGAAAAGATCATTGAGATAATCTCAGGATCAAAGAAAAAAGTTAATTATACAAATTCACACTGTATAATCACCAGCTGGAGCTATGGCAACACCAGCAACGAAGACCTTGAACGAGCATCCAAATTCGGAGAACAGTTCATGAACAACAACTTTGATGCATCTGCCACTACAAGACAAATATTCTGTAAGCATGCGGAACAGTTGTTTGAAAACCATCATTGCAACTACTGCAATTGCAGTGATTCCACGACAAAGGAGGGTCCCTTCTCTGAAGATGACAAATCGTCATCATCTTAAAGAAAGATGCTTCACGCATCAAATGGCCCCCGCCACTCAAGAAAATAATACTTCCTACATTATTAGAAGCTTTCCAGCTCTCCACAATAATGTAATCGGTAGTGGTTAGAAACGTCATGCATGACATAATAGGCAATTATCAGACCCTCTATCTTGTAAATTTTCAGTTCAATGTCTTGTGAGTAAAATCTCCCTTAGAAGGGAGAGATGTAAAATATTGTAGGAGTACTCCCACTTCGGGAGCTCTTTTATCAATAAATTTATGTTTTGTTATACTTGAGTGTTCTTACAAAATAGAGTCATGAAACCTGTAAGTGACAGAGTGTCAGGTCGTCGATGATTAACAGTACCACAGGCATGAGGCCAACAGGGAAAGCAACCACACAGGCCAATGAATGACACAGGCTGGCTTGAATACTTTCTATCTATGTAAGTAATACTCCTATTCCAAAACACTTATTGATTAATGAGTTTTCTCTTTACAATTTTGTGCATCTATTTCCTTCTAAATATTAAAAATATAATAAAAAAATTTGTTAAAAAATTCCGTACACCCATACTGGTATCAGAGCCTTGTTAAAAATGGCATTACATTATAATAAAACACTTTACAGTGAATTGTTTGAAGAAATTCAAAATATCGAGGATGAAATTTCTCATCATAAAGAAATGATTTTCAATAATAAGAAAAATTTAGTGCATATAAATTTCAGAATTCTACAAGCACAAAATAAACATACTCACGAATATATACCAACCATGGTTACTATACGTAAGTATCTCCTTCACAGGCAAAAAAAATATATCAAGAACACCTTGATAAAGCTTTAAACTTAGTTTCAGAACTCAGAAAAAGGATTTTAACTTGTTAACATTTCTTAAACATGAATAAAGAAATTTTCAACAATTCTGAAGAAAATGATTCAGAAGAAAAACAAATTCTAACTTATGTTGAGGATGAAGACGGCTTTCATCCAAACCTCTTAATAAAACAAGACCTTCTCTCTCGAGTCAAGAAAACAGATTTAAAAATAAAGAAAGAAAACATTTTCAAAAATGTTCCTTCTAAACTTAGTATTTTAAATCCACTTAAAAGGAAAAATAAAATTTTCTACTTTGTTAGTACTAAAGAAATGTCTGTAGACATAAAAGACTCCATATAGGAGAAAGCTCAGAAAGAAAAGATAGTAACTTAATAAGAAACATGTCTTTAAAAATTGATAGTCTACGTCAAAATATCAAACAAATCACTGAGATTGTAAATGAGTAATAAAATAGATTTTCCTCATTTTTATAAAAAAGGAAAAACAGTCAAAATTAAAACTCTTGACGACAATACTGAAAAGAAAGAATACGTTTTCTCTACTTCTGGAAAAGCTGGTATTCAAACAATTGTAAATCATTGCAATAATCTCAACCAGATCATTGCAAGCTGTCTTTTAAAGACTTCAAAAATAAGCCATTACCTTGGTGTTTCAAAAGATATTTATACAAATATTTCAAAAAACAAAATACCTTTTAACCAATTTAAAAGTGATTTAGCTTTCCTTAAAAATAATCTTGACAAAAAAGATTTTGAAAAATTATTCGAAACAATCGAAAAACAAAATAGGTTGACTATTAAATTAACCCAATCTATTGATAAAAATTCTATCCTCCTAGAAAACTCTTTAAAAAATAATCAGTTTGTGGAAGAAGTTGCCAGAAGAGCAAATATTGAAGGCACTCTTAAGGAAACCAACCTTAAGATCACTAGTATACAAGACCAGTTAAAACAACTGATAGGATGAGCTTAACCGAACTCAATAGATCGATCAACCTCCTTGAAGAAAAAATAGCTGGGCTAATCATAAACCTCGACTTAACAGTCAATAAATACGTAACCACTAACCAGTTAGAAGTTGCATCTGCAAAAATTATTGCAGACATTACTAAAGAGTTGTCTGAAAAGATTGATTCTTGCCCTTGTAATAAAGACATTCTTGAACACATCAAGAATATTTCCATTATAGAGCAAAAAACCAAACCGGGAAAATACTCAGGACTTAAGAAATATTCACCTCCCAATCCTAGTATTGGAAACCCAGACTTAGGTAGCTCAAAAGACTCCCAAAAGATTGATATCTTTAGGAAGGAGAAACAATGAAAGAAAAAGTCTCCGAGCAGCTCGAGAAATATTTCTTTAATCTTCAGTATGAAGACTATGATAAACCTGCCCAAAAACTCATCCAGCTTCTATCCTTGGAAACTGAAGAATGCGAAGAACTATATCAAAAAGAGCCACAACTTTTTGACCAATACTTTAAAGTAGCTAAAACAAATGAACCTGATACCGAATCAGAACAGGAAGACAATCCTAACATAAACGCTGTCAAGTTCGAATACTCAGATAGCAACGAAGAAATGGAAGCAGAATCTTCATATATGGCCGCAAACAGAGGCGAGAGAAAGAAGAAAAAGAACTATGAGTTCAAAATGCCTGTCCATAATGGTATTCCAAATAGTGGTAAAGGACCCAATACGATCAATGTCCTCAATATTGATTGTATCCAGGACTTAAAACTCAGAGAAAGAGTTATAGAAAAATGGGTTACTGAGATTTCACTAATCTTACAAACAAACCCAGATGAATTTGGAAATGCAAAAAATGTCCTCCTACTTTTAGAACACAAGACTGATGGAATTGTGCAAAAATTCCTTAGAAATAATAATTGGAATGAAGAATTACATGGATTAGACCTTTTTGATAATCTTATAAATGTCATTTACACTACCTTCTTAGGACTAGATTATGTCTCCAATAAAGACTTCACTATAAATAAGAAAGTCGACATAGCAAGAGTCTCAATGACAAAACTCCAGTTACATGATATTTGTCTCCTTGACAAATACACATGTAGATATGAATCATATCTTTATGATATTCCACAGAGATGTGAATATTCACAATGGATATCTGCTTATCTTATGAAAATACCAATCATTGGAGAAATCTGTACTGAAAGATGGAAAAAAGAAGCCATTGGAGAAATTCAGCAAACCAGTCTTTCTTATGCAACAAAAATTGCAAAAGAAGAAATTGACAGAATATGTCAAGACAGGTATAAACAACAAAAGCTTAAAACTATAAGCAAGGATTGTTGTAACATTCTGTCTGATTTCAAAGATTTTGATATCGGAAGAAAAACTTATACTAAGAAAAAGTATAAAGATAAAAACAAAAAGAAATACAAATCTTTTTGGAAGAAGAAAAAGAGAAGATTTTCTCCAGGAAAATACTTCAAAAAATCTTCGAAAGAAACACCAAAAAGAATACTTCCTGCCCACAAGGAAAGAAAAAATGCAGGTGTTGGATTTGCAACGAAGAAGGACACTACGCTAATGAATGTCCAAATAGGAAAAAGTACCCTGACAAGGTCAAAGTATTACAAGCCGCTAATAACGGAGGCTATGAAGCTCTTGAAGAAGAATACGACGGTACACAACATGTTTTCATTCTACATGTTGATACTAATTCCTCGTCATCCTAAGAAGAAGATGAAACTACTACTGATGACTCAGAATAGCCTTAAACAGACTCCAGCTTTTAAGACGGGTGAGGTTAACCAATTTTGTGCAAACCTCCAAAAAATAATGATTCTCTCATGAATCTCACTAATCCAAACTCTATTTATGTTTCTGCTTTCCTTAACTTCAAAGGATATAAGAAATTTAGGGTACACTGTTTTGTAGACACAGGTGCATCCTTATGTCTTGCAAGCAAATTCATCATTCCTACGAACTATGGGAAAATGCTCCCAAAAAAAATTGTCGCTACTATTGCAAATGGTGACACTATAAAAATTAATAAAGTTTGCAGAAACATTAATCTCGAGCTTTCAGGAGAACATTTCAACGTTCCCACTATTTATCAACAAAACTCAGGAATTGATGTTGTAATTGGCAACAACTTCTGCCAAGTCTATGGACCATTTATACAATGGATAGATAGAATTGCCTTTCATCTTAACAACGATATGGTGATTGTAAAAAAGGTTACTGAAGCCTTTAGTAAAGGAAAACCAAGTTTTCTTGAAACCCAGAGAAAGGGTTCTAAAGAAAAACAAATTCCGGGTACCAATATAACCCAAGAAGGAATTAATGAAAAAAGGATTATTTCCATTCAAACTACCAGGTTCAAACAGATTGAAGATCTTCTTGAAAAAGTTTGTTCTGAAAATCCTATTGATCCAGATAAAACCAAAGGATGGATGAAAGCTTCAATTAAGCTCATTAATCCCAAAATGGTTATTAGAGAAAAACCTATGGTTTACTCTCCACAAGATAGAGAAGAATTCTCCAAACAAATCAAGAATTACTTGATATGAGACTAATTAAGAATCAAAATCCCCTCATATGTCCCCTGCCTTTCTTGTCAACAAAGAAGCAGAGAAAAGAAGAGGAAAGAAGCGCATGGTTGTCAACTACAAAGCAATCAATGATGCAACTATTGGAGACTCACATAATCTTCCCAATATGCACGAACTTTTGACTCTTCTACGAGGAAAAAATATGTATTCAAGTTTTGACTGCAAGTCAGGTTTCTGGCAAGTCCTACTTGATGAAGAATCGCAGCTTCTCACTGCCTTCACATGTCCTGATGGACTCTTTCAATGGAAAGTACTACCCTTTGGGCTTAAACAAGCTCCTAGTATTTTTCAAAGACACATGCAGAACGCCCTTCGAGGACTTGAAAGTTTCTGTACTGTATACGTTGATGACATCATGGTCTTCAGCAAAAATGAACAAGAACACTATGTTCATGTTACACAGGTTCTCAGAACCATTTTAAAATATGGAATAATACTTTCAAAAAAGAAAGCTCATCTTTTCAAAACAAAAATTAATTTTTTGGGTTTAGAAATAAATGAGGGTACTCATTGTCCTCAAAAGCATATTCTTGAACATTTACATGACTTTCCAAATGTTTTAGAAGACAAAAAACAACTGCAAAGATTTCTTGGTGTTTTAACTTATGCTGAAACATATATTGAAAAACTTGCAGCCATGAGAAAACCTTTACAGGTAAAATTAAAAAAAGATGTCATCTGGAATTGGTCAAATGCTGATACAGACTACATCAAAAAGATAAAGAAAATTTTAATCAATTTTCCAAAACTTTATCTTCCAAACATTGAAGACAGTTTAATTATTGAAACTGATGCTTCTGATGAATTTTGGGGAGGTGTTTTAAAAGCTAAAAACCCCAAAAACGAAGAACAAATTTGCAGGTACACCTCTGGCAGTTTCAAAGCAGCCGAGAAAAACTACCATAGCAATGAAAAAGAATTACTCGCTGTAAAAAGAGTTATTACAAAATTCTCTGTATATTTAACACCAGTAAATTTCCTGGTTCGTACAGATAATAAAAATTTTACTTATTTCCTCCGAACTAAGATTGCAGGAGACAACAAATTAGGCCGACTAATACGTTGGCAAGAGTGGTTCTCTCGATATACTTTTACTGTAGAATATCTTGCAGGAGATAAAAAGGTGCTGGCAGACTGTCTCACCTGTGACTTCAGGTATGTCTTACATCATCCATGATCTCACTTGCTCCTCTCGAGCCCTATAAAAGGATATGATCCCCACGACATATTCCTTACAAACTTCACTCAAAAAAGAGAGGGGAAGGATAAAGAGTAAATTTACAAAATGGAAGACCTCAAATCCCTGAGGATGAAGAAACAAATGCTCCTCATAGAGCTATCAGCAATCGAACAAAAAATCAACTTGTATGAACAAGTAACAACGGTCACCGATGTACCGGAAAGCGAAAGCTTAAAAACAAAGGCTATTCCAGTGCAAACGGCATCTGGTAAAGAAACAACAAATCCGTTGAAAGCTGATGCTTTGCTAAAAAGCATAATAAAGGAGACAGCTACTCCTCTTCCAGAAGGAAAAACTAGCTTGTTGGTTAATTCCAACCCTTGTACTGAAGGAATCAGTAAAATGACAATTTTGTCACCCACTAACGAATCTGTGCAGGAGCTTAAACCAGATTACAAAAAGGCTCTTAACAAAGAAGCTGAAAGATTCTATGTAATCTACAAAGGGCCACACGCCGGAATACATACAGACTGGGGAATTACAGAAACCTTCTGCAAGGTCGATAAAGTAACATGCAAAAAATTCAGAAATGAAACAAGTGCACGAATTAGTTTTGCCACCTTCAATGACGAAGCCAATCAAACCAAAAAACCTCTTCTAAAACCGAAAATCTGGAAGATCAAAGAAGAACACAGAGACCAAAGATTTACATCCCAAATGACGTTGAATATGAAGTCAACAACCCTGCAATCTCCTTTGAAGATTTCAGAATAATCTGGAGTAAAGCTAGAGCGGCATGCCCAGAAGATCTTATCCATGAGAGATTTTTCACAACAGATAAGAAAACCAAAAGTCTGTACAACTTCCTTGAAGGAGCAGATCCAAGATTAATCCAACAAGCCTTTTCAGCAGGATTAATAGACAACATCTATCCAAGCTGCAATTTGCAAGAACTAAAGTTCTTCCCATCCAGCATGATAGAAACCATTAAGAACTTCCGAAAGAAAGTTCTCAAAGCAAGAGATGATCCAATTTATATCAGAGTCATCTCCTCTCTTCCAGATTGGATTCAAGGAGCAACACTTGCCCCTTATCACTATCTAGAAATTGGCTTGGCAAAAGCCAAAAAAGACATCGAACAATCTCGACCAACGGAAGACAAAGATCTCCCGTTCGAAGAAATCCTTCATCAAAATCGTATCAATGGCCTTAGAAGAATTTCTGAAAAGATCATTGAGATAATCTCAGGATCAAAGAAAAAAGTTAATTATACAAATTCACACTGTATAATCACCAGCTGGAGCTATGGCAACACCAGCAACGAAGACCTTGAACGAGCATCCAAATTCGGAGAACAGTTCATGAACAACAACTTTGATGCATCTGCCACTACAAGACAAATATTCTGTAAGCATGCGGAACAGTTGTTTGAAAACCATCATTGCAACTACTGCAATTGCAGTGATTCCACGACAAAGGAGGGTCCCTTCTCTGAAGATGACAAATCGTCATCATCTTAAAGAAAGATGCTTCACGCATCAAATGGCCCCCGCCACTCAAGAAAATAATACTTCCTACATTATTAGAAGCTTTCCAGCTCTCCACAATAATGTAATCGGTAGTGGTTAGAAACGTCATGCATGACATAATAGGCAATTATCAGACCCTCTCAATGTATCTATAAATTGAGAGTTATGTTTTCATTTTAGATTATCGCAATAACGAGTGCAACAAAAACACTCTCTATCTTGTAAATTTTCAGTTCAATGTCTTGTGAGTAAAATCTCCCTTAGAAGGGAGAGATGTAAAATATTGTAGGAGTACTCCCACTTCGGGAGCTCTTTTATCAATAAATTTATGTTTTGTTATACTTGAGTGTTCTTACAAAATAGAGTCATGAAACCTGTAAGTGACAGAGTGTCAGGTCGTCGATGATTAACAGTACCACAGGCATGAGGCCAACAGGGAAAGCAACCACACAGGCCAATGAATGACACAGGCTGGCTTGAATACTTTCTATCTATGTAAGTAATACTCCTATTCCAAAACACTTATTGATTAATGAGTTTTCTCTTTACAATTTTGTGCATCTATTTCCTTCTAAATATTAAAAATATAATAAAAAAATTTGTTAAAAAATTCCGTACACCCATACTGGTATCAGAGCCTTGTTAAAAATGGCATTACATTATAATAAAACACTTTACAGTGAATTGTTTGAAGAAATTCAAAATATCGAGGATGAAATTTCTCATCATAAAGAAATGATTTTCAATAATAAGAAAAATTTAGTGCATATAAATTTCAGAATTCTACAAGCACAAAATAAACATACTCACGAATATATACCAACCATGGTTACTATACGTAAGTATCTCCTTCACAGGCAAAAAACATATCAAGAACACCTTGATAAAGCTTTAAACTCAGTTTCAGAACTCAGAAAAAGGATTTTAACTTGTTAACATTTCTTAAACATGAATAAAGAAATTTTCAACAATTCTGAAGAAAATGATTCAGAAGAAAAACAAATCCTAACTTATGTTGAGGATGAAGACGGCTTTCATGCAAACCTCTTAATAAAACAAGACCTTCTCTCTCGAGTCAAAAACAGATTTAAAAATAAAGAAAGAAAACATTTTCAAAAATGTTCCTTCTAAACTTAGTATTTTAAATCCACTTAAAAGGAAAAATAAAATTTTCTACTTTGTTAGTACTAAAGAAATGTCTGTAGACATAAAAGACACAATAAGAGCTGTCTTTCTACCCCTTTTGACTAAAGAACAAATAAACAATAACTTAAAAAGTATTCCAGTTGAGATTAGATCAAAAATAAGAATGGTCCATATCGGAGCTGTAAAAATTCTGATAAAATCCCAATTCCAAGCAGGAATAAATTCTCCCATAAAAATGGCCTTAATTGACAACAGAATTACAGACAGACAGGACTGCATCTTAGGTGCTGCTAGGGGAAACCTTGCTTACCAAAAATTTATGTTTTCAGTCTATCCAAAATTTGCTCTAGATTTGAAATCTGCAAATATAGATAAAACATTATCTTTTATACATCACTTTGAAAGAAGTGACCTTATGAACCCAGGTGATAAACCATTCACCATAACCTATCTCATAGGATATGCCCTAACCAATAGTCACCATAGCATAGACTACAAGAAAGACGAGTACATCGAACTTGATGATGTCTTTTCAGAAATAGGCCATGTCAAAGATAAACAATTCTGCGACATAAATCCTCAAGAAAACTCTTGGGTTTTAAATATAGTTAGAAACAAAAAAGCTCTAGGAGAAACTCTTAGACCAAGAATTTCTATGGATTCGCTCCATATAGGAGAAGCTTTCTACATTATTAGAAGCTTTCCAGCTGTCCACAATAATGTAATCGGTAGTGGTTAGAAACGTCATGCATGACATAATAGGCAATTATCAGACCCTCTCAATGTATCTATAAATTGAGAGTTATGTTTTCATTTTAGAGGATCGCAATAACGAGTGCAACAAAAACACTCTCTATCTTGTAAATTTTCAGTTCAATGTCTTGGGAGTAAAATCTCCCTTAGAAGGGAGAGATGTAAAATATTGTAGGAGTACTCCCACTTCGGGAGCTCTTTTATCAATAAATTTATGTTTTGTTATACTTGAGTGTTCTTACAAAATAGAGTCATGAAACCTGTAAGTGACAGAGTGTCAGGTCGTCGATGATTAACAGTACCACAGGCATGAGGCCAACAGGGAAAGCAACCACACAGGCCAATGAATGACACGGGCTGGCTTGAAAATACCGTACACCCATACTGGTATCAGAGCCTGTATGCGAAGTATACGGAACTCAAGAACTAAACAATGCTCATCAGTGCTTTGCTAAATTGCAAAGACTTCTATTATGGAAATCAAGAATTAAACAACGCTCATCAAAGCTTTGCAAAATTTCGTAGACTTCTATTGTGGAACTCAAGAATTAAACAATACTCATCAAAGCTTTGCTCAATTGCATAGTCTTCTATTGTGGAACTCAAGAATTAAACAATGCTCATCCAACCTTTGCTTAAATTGCATAGACTTCCACTGTGGAACTCATGAATTAAACAATGCTCCTCAAAGCTTTGCTAAATTACATAGACTTCTACTGTGGAACTCATGAATTAAACTTTGCTCATCAAAGCTTTGCTAAATTGCATAGACTTCTATTGTGGATCTCAGGAATTAAACATTGCTCATCAAACATTTATTAAATTGCATAGACTTCTATTGTGGAACTCAAGAATTAGACAATGCTCATCAAAGCTTTGCTAAATTGCATGGAATACATCTATTGTGAAACTCAAGAATCAAATAATGCTTATCAAAGCTTTGCTAAATTGCATAGACTTCTATTGTGGATCTCAGGAATTAAACATTGCTCATCAAACATTTATTAAATTGCATAGACTTCTATTGTGGAACTCAAGAATTAGACAATTCTCATCAAAGCTTTGCTAAATTGCATTGAATACATCTATTGTGAAACTCAAGAATCAAATAATGCTTATCAAAGCTTTGCTAAATTGCATAGACTTCTATTGTGGATCTCAGGAATTAAACATTGCTCATCAAACATTTATTAAATTGCATCGACTTCTATTGTGGAATGCATAGACTTCACCGAAGGATATCAAGATCGATCCTTAGGAGGATCACATGGTTAGGTATAGAAGTAATCCGCAATCTATGAAGAAGCCATCCACAGTGTCCTCATCCGCAACAAACACTAGTTTACTTATTTTTATCTTACTTATTTAGATTGTATTATCCAGTGAGCCTTCATAGTCACTGCGAATCAGATGTTTAGTCTTTGTTTATTCTTTATGTATGTTCTCGAGTCTCTATAAATAGAGTACTTAATTTCACAAATGCTACACATCTCCATTATCTTAATATCTAAATTTCTCTCTGAATTCCTATCCTCATATTCTTAAGATCTTACTGAACTTACTCTCAAATATATTAAGATCAAACTCTCACATCTCCTTCGGAATAAGTCCTTGTGACTTCATTCACTTTAAGCTGATCATGTATGCTAACTTGGTTTGATTGAAAACCTTGTTAAGAATATTGCATTTGGGTTTCTTATTAAGGACTATCTTTATATCTAATATAAGCTTGTCCTTCTTTCTTTTCAGATGTCTTCCAACAATGTTGCTTCTGGCTCAAACCCTACCGGCTCCTTCTCTCTCATGAACCTTTGTGGGAGAGTCATCTTCGATGGTTCCAACTTTATGGATTTGATCCGAAACATCAGGATGGTCACTCGTTACGAGGACAAGGAATATGTCCTCGACAAGGAGCTTAAGGAACTTGATGAATCGTCTGCTACTCCTGAGGAGATCGCTGAATACTAGACTCATGAGAGAGATGCCACCAAAGTGGCATGTATCATGTTGGCAACGATGACAGCCGAGCTCCAAAAGTCCTATGAGGACTATTACCCTTTTGAGATGCACCAGGGCTTGAAGGACCTCTATCATCAAAGTGCTCGTCAAGAGAGGTGTGACATCATCTCCTCCATGATAACAACCCGAATGAAGGATGGTGAACCCATCACGGGCCACATGCAGAAAATGCAAAGGTATGTGGACCGTTTGCTGAAATTGAATGTGAATTTTCCTGAGGAGTTGGCAATTGACATCATTTTGCACTCCTTACCTTCGTGTTATGATCAATTTCGGATGACATATCACATGAACAAGGAGGAAGTTACACTCGGCAAACTTCAAGGACTTTTGAAGACCGCGGAAAGTGGTCTTAAAGGTAAGTCGGTTGTTACTACTCCTACTCCTACCGCGGCCCCTGTCTTGGCAATCGGGCAAGCTAAAGGGAAGAAGAGGAAGAGCCCTTCGAAGGGTACCAAGGGAAAGTCCCTTGATGGATCCTCTTCGAGTGGAACCAAAAGAGGTTCTGTCACTCCTTCGGCTAACCCTAAAGAGGCTGAATGCTTCTATTGCCATGAAAAGTCGCACTGGAAGCGAAACTGCCCAAAGTATCTGCAAGATGTTAAGGATGGGAAAGTGAAACCCAACCATGCAGGTATTTACACTATATTGTCTAATAACTCACCCTAATCTAATTCTTGGGTCCTTGATACAGGTTGTGGTATTCACATATGTTCTGATTTGTAGGAACTAATAAGAAGTGAGAATGTGGAGCATGGAAAGATAAACTTGATCATGGGGAATAGGAAAGTTACACCTATCAACAATAATACTTTTAAAAAGTCTACAAAGTGTTTTCTTAGTAAGTATAATCATACTCAAAACAATGTTTGTAAAGAGTTAAGTTTTGAAAACCAAGATGTATCTTTGCATAAGTAAATCTATACTTAAAATGGGTTTAAAAGCAATCAAGCCTATGGTTTGTAGTAAAAGAGAGAGAGAGAGAGAGAGAGAGAGAGAAAGAGAGAGAGAGAGAGATAGACAAAGAGAGAGAAAGAGAGAGATTCTAGTTAATGTGACTTAGTTTACCCCTACAACACTTCATTATACGTCGTAGTAACAATAGTAGATACTTTTTACTCGCTTCAATTGATTGGTCGAGGTTGTAGCTAACAACCGCAGGTGGGGATGTCAACCCCATATAGATCTATACAAACGTATCTCGCTCCAAAGATTAGCGATTATAGTAGTGTAGGTATGCTAAGTGTTTAGAATTAGCTAATGAATATAGTCTCACTAAAAAGCCCTTAACTAAGGTATGTGAGTATCTCTCAGCACTAACTTATAAGTGGATAAGTTACTAGGCACAATGAATTGTATAGAGTTTATAAAAGTCGAGCATAACTGGTATGTATGTATAGTATAAGGTACTCACTTTTTTAATGAAGTATATTTTAATAAATGTTCATGTATAAACTTTGTACATATACATGTATAACTTAAATCCTCAGAAATACTACAAAGTTTTATGACATGCTTTTTATGACATACAATGTCACATAAAACCATAGAGTTTTGTAGTAAAAATGCATATGTTATTTTTATTAGTTGTATCATTTTAACAACATAACATATGAAAATATTGAGGTTTAAAACTAGTTTATGTGTTTATAACATATAAATGTCAAACCGATATTTTATAAACTAGTTATAGTTTTAACATAAAATAATAATATTTTATGTGTATTTATGCATGCACTAGCACAAATATGCACATGTATTCTCCCCCAAAGCATATAAAAATATAAAAGAGGGGCCGTAATACTCACCTTAATGTGTGATTTTTTGGTTAAATTCAAGAAAATTGACGTAAGAACCGCAAACTTGACACTTTCATATCGAACCGGCGGGATTAATATAGTTACCTAATTAACAAAAAAAAAAGCTATGGTATAAGTTAATAATTATTTGTTTTGTAACTTAACTAAACTATAGGGTTGATTTTTTAAAATAAAAAATAACTTGAACAGGACCGATTCAGTTAACCATTTCCAAATGAGGTACTGAAATGGTTTATTTAAATCAAAGTTTGGGGTTTTTTGACTTATTTTGAAATCAATTTCTCTAGGAGGGGCTGTTTTAAATAAATCGAAATGAAGTTTGAGGTATTAGGACCTTTTCTGTAAGAAATTTTTAAAAGGGAGTGGTTTGTGTTTATTAGAAACAAAAGTTTGAGACTTTAGGACTTAATTTGTAAATAAAGTTTCAAGGAGGGTAGTTTAAATTAAGTTGAAATGAGAGTTTGGGGACATTGCATTTTTTTTATAGAAATTTTCAGAGAGGGTAGGCTTTAAATAATTTAAAATGAAGTTTGAGGGGAGAAGTCGATCACCTCCTGTGATATGCGAAAAAAAAATGAAATAAGGCTCGGTTTGGGTTATAAATCGAAGGAAAAACAAAAGAATGGTGGTGGTGGTTTTTTATACTTACTGCGGCAGCAACAGCAGCATAGTGGAGGGTGGCGGCAGTGGGCGGTTGGTGGTGGCAGAGCTTGCTTCCGGCAACTTTGCTGCTCCCGTTGTCTTTTTGTCCGGCGAGCACGAAGCGATGGGAAGAGGCAAGAGGTAAGAAAGCATGGTGGAGGGCCTAGAGGGGTTTGTTTGATCAAAAAAATTGGTGGATAAGGTTGGTGGTGGTGGTGGTCTTCGGTGATGTAAGAAAAGAGAGGGAGGGAAAGATTAAAGGAGAGAGAGAGAGTGTGTGAGAGAGAGAGAGAGAGAGAGAAATTATTGCTGATGAGTTGTGCAGAAATTGATGAACTAATGCCCTCTATTTATAGTGTAGAAGGTCTTATGCAAGCCATGCATCACAATGTATCCATAGCTAGTCAAGGACTCCATCTCACCCAGGCTTTGTACTTGGAGAAGAAGTGTAAGCAAGAAGGTGATGATGGAGGTGTAAAGGATGTGGGTTAGGGCAAGAAGGGAA